TTACCAGACGAAGATACTGGCCACAAAAGAGCAGGGAAAAACCGAGAACATTGGCATTTTCACGCGCCCTCTAAAACCGCAGACACAATGCAGCAACAGCAGCAGCAGCAGCAGCAGAGGCGTTGTAAAATGACCAAAAAAGGTATCGGCATTTTGGCCGAAAACAGAACGAAACAAAAAAAAACCAGGCTAACAGAACCAGGCCCATGCCCAGGCCCAGTCCTAGAGAGGCTAACGGTTGTTGTAGAGCTAACGAGATCGCTTGTTTCTGGGCCTGTTTCTGGATTCTCCACGGATCTAGTGGTGGTGCTGCTGCTGCTGTGGCTGCCACATCTTTCGTGGAACAAAAACCAAGAAAATAAACAAAAGAATCAGCCAGAAACAACATTTACCAGCAGCATCCCAGAGCATGTTTTTTTCTGGTAGTTTTATTTTTGGGTTGTAGGAGAAGCCTGAAAAGGCAAAGACTTCACTCAACAGCAACGCCAACGCACCAAAACGCACCTAATTCCACGAAAAGTTCCCAGACCAGACCCAATTTCTGTAGCTGTATCCCGCAGATACACACAAGCAACAGACTTCAACGGGTGCATCTAGCAGATACACAGATTCATTAGCATGTGGGCAGTGGGTCAGTGACTGTCAGAATATAGAGACAGAGCGAGCGAGAGAGAGGCAGATCCACTGAGAGATCAATCAGTGGATGAATTCGAAACAGTTCTCGCAGATAATCTCTGACTACTCATTGCCTTTCCCTCTCTTTGACGATCAATCAGTGGATCCCATCCCCCCACCCATCATTGCTCCCCTTTGGGGTTTTTCTTTCCACAAAAAGAGCAATAAAGAACAACATACCGTATACAAATCGATTTCACCCAGTTCTCTCAGTTGTATAGTTTTTTTTTTTTGTTCCTTTCCATTCTCCTACATGCAGCATATTTTCTTTTATGGGCAGGCAGTCGTCTGTCCCGTGCTCATTCGTATTCCACCATTCCCATTGCCATTCCCATTCCCTGATGTTGTGTTTCTCCCCCATAAAAACTCTATTTCTATGCATCTACCTGCACTCAAGAACCCCCAATATTCGGCTGTCTAGAGGTTCGCCTTCTTCCTGGAGGATTGCGTGCCACATGCGCCTGTCCGCCATACGCGTCCGCTGGCCAGTTTGCTGTTGTCATAAAAGTTGCCACTTTATGACTTACTTATGGAAAAGAGAAAGAGAGAGAAGAACACACGTTGAAAACTTTACGTTTAAGCCATCTCACCGCGGAAATAGACTTAATGATCAATTAGCTTTTCGAACCGCGTTGCCTGCCGTTAGCTTCCGACTGGAATGAATGCCCCATGCCACATGAAGAACTGGGAGCGGTTCCATAGAGGAGGAGACTCAGAAAATCTAATGAGCAACTATGCGTCATTGCAATTAACCCAGAGCTCTAATTGGGGGATGGTTAGGCCATGGGGCATAAAGTGTGTATTTTAAGGCCCATTACAGATGGGCTTCCTGTCTCTGCGACTCCATTCGAAGCAGAGGGGGAAAATAGTGGAAAATTGAGAGGAGCAGGCATCACTAGCAATAGAAAATCAAACAGTGAAACACTGAAGTCAAAGACGAAGTCAAAGATGTAGAAGTTGTCAGAAGTTGCCGTATGATGATTGCGCAAGCGACACATAAGCGGCGTCGATGCCAACTCCCAGAGCTTCTACAGCGACTCCCCAGAGGAAGAAGCAGAGGCGCAGAGTCTGGAGTCACTAGTAACTGCTTTAATTGGAAATTGTTGCAACAGCAGCGGCAGCTGAGGCAGCTGAGGCATCCACATCAACATCGTCAAGTGTTCTAGTTACGTGGCTGTCGTTTGCTTTCAATCTTTTGGCTCTCCGACTCTACGGGAATTGCATCACGCAAAGGCAGAAGTGAGGCTGCTGCCAACGGGTTTTCGCTTCAATCTTCTATCTGTTGCAACTCCTTTTGGCTACTTTCTAAAGCCAGCAGCATCCACATCTCTTCGTTCACTTGAGTCACACATTGCCCTCCCTCCCCCCGTTTCCCTCTTAGTTTTTCTTTTCTTTGCTATCTTTTTTTTGTTTTTTGTTTAGCGCCCAGGTAACTGTTCCAATCTCTGTTGCTGTTGGTGCTGCTGTTGCTGTGGCTGGTGCTCTTGCACTACTCTGTTCTGCTGCTGATGTTGCAGTTGGGAAACTGGTGCAAGCTCCCCTCTGCCCCCCTCTGCCCCCCTCTGCCCGTTGGCTGCAGCAAATTTGCAGTTAGTTTTACTGTTGTCCGTCGTCGTTGTCTTTGGGCTTTGATTTTGTTGTGTTTTCTATGTATGACATTACTTGTTCGCCTTTTTTGTTTGCCTCATTTTCCCCTTATTTTCTTTTGCTTCAAATTGGAAATTAACGTGCAACAACTAGGCTATAGCCATGGACGTTGCATGGCCCTTTGTTCTTTAAAGTTTTTACAGAAATTAATTAAGTGCCTTCGAGTCTGGTGCGGCAGGGGATTTAATAGAGCTTGTTAGGAAAGTTTCTGCTGCTAGTTTTGTGTCACATGAGTCCCAATGTCTATAAATTTGCACAAGCCATAAAATTAGCTCGTAAACTTTATTGTTTTTAGTACATAATATATAGTAAATTCTCTATAGTGTTGCTAATTAAAAAAGCGGATATAAAAACCAGAAGTAATTTGCTTGCAACATCTTTTTGATGGCTGAGATGGCAATCTTTTCGATGGGTTTTGCTTGGGAGCAGAGATGGGAATCTTTTTGGAGTTGATTTACGATGATGAGAACTTGTTAGCGATGAACTTTTAAAGTATTCCCCCCCAAATTATGGTAAGTGCTGCTCCCCTTTTCTTGCTTAATTGGGATTTCCCCCTTTTCCCAGCTACCTCAATCAATCCCCCATTTAAAGCACCGTTTATGACCATCAAAGAATCATTTACAAACCGAAAACCGAAACCGTTTTTGTCAAATGTTTAGCCAATTTCCAATGACAATCCACGGGAACAACCCTGTTGACAGCTGCTGTTGCGCCTCGCTGATGGATTGGAGCCCCAGAGGCAACCGCGACTTGTGGCTGTTGGTGCGATTAGAGGCGGCTGAAAGGCTGATAGGGTTAACTGGAGAGCGCTGGATGGGGCCTCTGGCTGGCTGGCAACCTTATCAGCAATCTGTCAGTGGTGCCACAAAAGCAGCGACTGTGTGGCACTGCGGAACATCATCATCAGACAGCCCTCATGCCACGGGCGCGGCGGCTGCTTCAAAGACTTGCGCGCGACATCTTCCGACCGGCTGCGTGGTCGGCAGTTTGACGTTGAATCCACAATTTACAAATTACAACTAATTAAAAGTTGATGGAGGCAAATGCGTGAGTGAAATCAAGCGCAGACGATAGCTCCATCATCTCCACCTCTCGCTCCACCATCCGGAGGAGCAAGCGATTCCCTTTTGCACCGATAAGCAAATGAGGAAGTCGCAGACGCAGACGAGCGGTGCGAAGTGGCATGGAGTGGCGCGGTGCGGCGCGGCTACCGTCAGTAAGTTCTTTGAAAAATGTTATTTATTTTCAAGTCATTCCGCGTGGCCCTCGTGGCTGTCACTTGTGGGGTTCTGTCTGGGATCTGTTCTGGTTATGGTATGGTCTGTCTGGCTCCGTCTATCTGATGGCTATCTATATGGCAGAGGTCTGTGGCATGGGGTCTCGGTTGTCCGGCAACATCCGTTGCACAAAATAGTTGTACAGGAAATGTTTTTTTCATCGGAGAGGTGCAAATAAAAGTTGGCAGCCCGATAAAATGTATGACAATGTTGCAGCCTCAGCCACAGCTACTCTCAACACATCACGATGGGCAGACCCATTTGATACTCATTCGCAAAACATTGAGCACCAAAAAGAAATGGCTGCCATATCCGATTGTAATAAAAGTATAATATTTCCTCCAAATTCGCATTTAAAGATGAAACGCAAAAAACTTTCCACATATCAAAAAAAAAGTTCCATTTAATTATTCAAGTTTTTAAAGAGAATTCAAATTGTGTTTTTCCTCGAACTGATGGACTTTTCAAATGGCAAAAGAAAAATAAATAAATGCGAATGAGCAAATATTTTCATGGCGATTTGTGTGGGAAAGAACCAAACGACATTATTATGACAACGATGATGAGGTTGCAACAGCAGCAGAAACTTAAAAAGCAACACGAGAGCAGGGTAAATTTACCAACCGAAATTCTAGATACCCTTGAAATGAGAGAATTTTTAATGTTTCAGAAGAATAAAGTGTCTGATTATTGACTATAAATAGATGTTAGATATGGCTAGAAATATTGAGTAATGTTAGGAAATCTGCAGAGTTCTCTACGTTTCATACCTCCTGCATTGAGTACAACAGCCAGAATAAAGCAATTGACTTGTATAGCGAATTTTTCGAGGGGACACATCTGCGAGTGGGGTTCCAGTTTCATAATTAAATATTGTCAACATGTACGACGGTGCGCCCGCTGATGTTGGGTCTGCTGTTCCTCCTGTTCCTCTTGTTACGATTCAATTCTTGAGCAAACAGTAGACCAGATACGAGCAGGAGCCAGCCAGAACCGGACAGGGACAGAGACAGCTGGGAGACCGAGTGCAATTTGATGAGCATCTCTTGTGGCCCGACAACAGGAAGTGCGAAAACTATTAGTGGCACTTATTTATTCATTAGAGGTAGTTAGAGACACCCCAACACACATATACACTGGGACACAGGGGCACATACATAGATACAGATACTGAGAATGTTAGAGGAGTGGAGCCCTAACTCTAATTATGCAGATCGTTGCAGGAGGATGATGGTGGGGCTGCATCATCAGGATGCAGGCACACGCTCTCGCACACAAATTTGCATAATGTTGGGCTATATTAATACGTTCGTACGTACGATATAGGGATAAATGTCATTGCACTTTGGGTTTCCGTTTCATATTTAAACTTCAGAGATACTTGTATCTTGCGCTGCTTACCTGCTTGATATCTTTATGCGGGTATTTCTGTTTATTTTCTGTTGGATATTTCTTTTTTATTTGTTGCCGCGGACAGTGCCTCGTCCGTTTATCAGCACACACAAATCAAAGCAGATCCCGAACGCACACACACATTTCTATCTTTCAGATACTTCGTATGTTGATTGTATGCAAAAAATGATATTTTAAGTGGTGGAGTTGAGAGCTCTCTCCTTTGGTTTTATTTAGCGTTGCGCCACATGGGAGCGATTTCCGAGGAACACACACAGATACGATACTGCTTCACACACACGCACATAGAACCATAGAGTAAGAGTGGCCGGGGGGGTAGAGAGCGGGGGTAGCAATAATAAAAGCGTAAATGCTTATTTATTTGCAAGTCGTTCTCCAAAATGCGCTCTGTTTGGATAATTTATGAAGCCCAAGCACACGACGACAGGCAGCACAGCAGAAACAGCCCCCAAAAAAACCCGCGCGGCGAAATTGAACTTCGTTTTCCCCGTATTTTTGTTTGATATATCTTTTCGTTGAATGGTTTTTTTTTTTTTTTTTTTTTTAAATAGGAAATAAGGAAATCCTTGTAGCTGGACCGCTATAAAAATCCCCGGTGATTGGTTTGCAAAAGGTTCGTTCTGTTCTCGTTAAATTCTTCAAAAACACACAAAAAATTTGATTGCACTTTCGATTGTTTGATTGCTTGTCGATTGTCAAATGGCCAAACGGAGGGTCAGAGTTCAATGGAGCTTTGTGGCTCTGACGATTGCGACTGCACTGACCGAGACCGATGCGGCAACTGTCGTGTCCGTTTTTCAGTCCATCAATCACGGCTTCACCGGCTGGCTGCCCGAATGCAATAGACCCGATAAAAACCGCTGAGGTTGCAGCCGATCAAGCGGGGCGACAAAAACCGACTCCGAAAACCGAAAACCGACTCCACTGAAAGCCGAAACTGTAAACGAAACGAGAAGCCGCGTCGCCGAGTCCAAGTCCCGTTTATTAATGCCGCTCTAAGCGTGCGTTGGCTCCAACGTTTCAACAGCAACTGCGAGGCAGCGCGCTTGGAGCCGTTGCTCCCTTCCGTGAAGCCCCCATGTGGAGAGTTTTGAAATGCCGGCTGTCTGTGTGGTGGTGTCTCTGATGTCTGAGAGTGTATGTGTGCGTGGAGAGTTGGAGCGCAACATGCAGCACATGGCACGTGTGGGATGAGGCAAGAGGCAGAGATGTTGATCTCAATGAAAGTTAAAGTTTGGATAGAATCAGAGATTGGAATAGGAAATTGATAGAAATAATAGGTCGAATGATCAGGTTTGATTTGATTTTAAAAATTTCTGGAATTATTTCTTCCACTCTGTGATACCTAAAAATCTCTAGAGATTTCTACTACTATATTTTTGAGAATTCCCAGACAGCCAGACATTTTTTATTAAGAAAAGTCTTTCATTGATTCAAAGAAGTTTTGAATGTGTAGAGAGAGGAGTGGGTATTAGTTTTTATTTTATTGCTGGTACTTGTGGTAATGGTTTAAGATAATACAATTATTATATCTCTCGAGATATCTTTAAAAAAAAATCAGGAAATTAAGGACTTAGAAGACTTAAAAAAACTTTGAAAATATCTGGGAATAATCTAGGGATATCAATTTCAATGACTTTGGGCATGACTTAAAATCCTTTTTGCGTTTCACATTTCATTTATTTATGACACTTTCTCGTAAGTTTCTTCTTTACTTCTACTTCTACATCTATATTCCATATCTTCATTCCTGCCCTCACATTCCATTCCTTCTCTCTTATCATTCACTTCCTTCTTCATCTACCCGCTTCCTTCCCACATGTTACGAAAACGTCGAGCAAAACAAACTGTAAATTGTGGAGACTTGGAGAACACATGCGCGCTGAGAGCAGCGTCCAAAGAGAGCGCAAGTGAGCGTAAATACGAGAGAGTGTGAGAGAGAGAGGGCGAGAGAGCAGCCGGCAAAAGGGAGCTGCTATATTGAAGTATAAAAGGGGAGTGGGGGACTGCGACTACGACTACGTCTGGGGTTAACTCTCGAGCATCTGTTTTATATCAGGAACGCCGCTGAGGCATTACGGAGCCGGAGCTATAGATACAGATACATCTACAGAGTATCTATGGAATGCATTAAGTGAGCTTGTAGCTGTCAATCATAGTACTAATGCCATGAAACCGAAGCAAAATTCCAGAGGCCAAACCATAGAATCCCCAATCCAAATGCTGATCCCCCACACAAAAACCGATTCAATCGTTACCCATGAACGGAGGAATGTTCATCTGTAATTTGCAAACCGCAAATGTGGTTCTCCCACAAGACACAAGAAAAGAGCTCCAAAAGTACACAATGGAGTATCGATCAGTGGTCATCGACTGTGGAATTTCCACAGAAATATTTATCTACGCTAATTCCCGAGCCTAAACTTGTGTATAAGTGTAATAAAACCGCATCATCTGGCTGCAATTTTCTCTGCTCGCGTGCCAGCATCACAACAGCAACAACCCAAAGAATCCCCATCGCCCAGTGCCCATCTTTTGCTGCATTCGCATGAACGCCTTCGAATTTCTCATAGAAAGAACACTTCGGGTCCGCTCTGTCCATTCCGTCCGTCCATCCACTTACTCTCTTGAGGTCCAGAGGAGGTCTTCTGTGGTCTGTGGCGTTTGGTTTATGGTTTATGCGCCGCCGTTTTTGGTCTATTAAAATGATTGCAGTATTTACGTAGCGCTTTTCTACCATAATTTGTATTTGCTATGCTCATCATCATCATCATCATCATTGGGCATTGGCAGCTTCAGCCTCAGCCCCAGCCTTATCCTCATCCTTCTCTCATCTTTGGGTATTCGTTTGCATTGAATGCCCCATCCATGGCTGTGGCATCTTTGGTTACCACAGACCGAAGTCAGAGCAGAGCCCCCAAGCGTTTGACCCTTCTGTCTATGCTTTTCTATTGTTTATCTGCAACAAGCCAGGCCCATAGCCCAGGCCCATGACCAAATCCAGGCTTAGGCTGCCTCCCTCCTTCCCATCTCCCTGGTGCGTTAATATTTCTGGCCTTTATCGCCCGGCGGCGTCACATTGCCTCGTATTTACAAATGATTATTGATCGCTTAATACGAAGTTTGGTATTGCTTGTGTTTATTTGTGCAGCTTAGAGATATTTTCCGTTGGGTCTCCCATTTCTGTTTGTCTTTTTGCATAAATATTTGTCGCTCTGTGATCAATTACATACAGCGCCAGCTCTCTGAAACCCCACTTCCATTAAGTTCCCACACCACCACAGATAATGTCGTTGGACTCAATTGTGAAAGTTGATTGTTGGAAAACTTTCAGTTTCATATAGTGCATGGGAATACGAGTAAGAGTACGAGCAATATGAGGAGTGCATTCAAACACCAAATCATTCTCATGGCAAATTGCAGAAGAAGATGGATTTCGAGCTTGGGGGACATTGAACCAAGAAAAGGTTGTCTCAAACCAGTTTTGTGTGGCACTGTTTTTTGTTGCAACTTCCGTTTAGGTAGAATGCTGGCAATTTTGACAGATTACAAGGCAGCGCCACAGCCTTGGGGCACCAGAGGTTTGGGTAAGCCACAAACCTCTGAAGAACCAAGAAACCAAGAGACCAAGAGAGAGAGAGAGAGAACCTTAATCAATAGCCTCAATGCAGGCGATGGCGATGGCCATTGAACCATCATAAATTGGTGGCCCAAAAGCAGATACAGTTTTTAAATTCAAACTGGCCTTCGCACTGGAGCTGGCCGAGAGCCGCACGCCCTGCTGCTTTCAATTACGTGTGCGAGCTACCAAAAAGGAAGAACCAAACAAATTTATGGCCCCAATGCTGGCATTCAAGAATCTGCATTTAAAAACACGAAATCCGCAGACGTTGCCAACGATTAAGCACCGCAAATCAAAAGCAAAAGCCGAGCAAAAGTGCAAAAGGAAACACCGAAAAAAACACTGAAATGGAAACCCGCAAATGACAAATGTTGGCACTAAGAGTTTGGCTGGGATAAATGAAAATGCAGCCAGAAAACACACACAAAAACACAAAACCAAAAAATAAAAAATAAAAAAAAATGGTGAAAAACAAGCGCAACAACCCGAAGAGCAAACATAAAGTGTTGAATGCTGGCGGAAATCACTTGAAACCGAAAATAAATCAAAGGAAACAATAAAGGAGATGGAGAACCGCAACGGCACCAGCACCAGCAGCAGAAGCAGCAACCAGAAACAAAGCAACCAAAATCGAACTCAGAACGAGAAAAGCGAAAAGAAAAGCGGAAAATAACGCTGGCGGCTTCCGCAGCACACAAGCTTTTCCACTCACACACATACACGCACACAGGCAAAGGAACTGATAAAAAAAAAAGCGGAAAACTGCAGGAATAATAAAATGAAATGAAATCAGAAATGTTTTCCGATGAGAAACAGAACTGAAAGCTGAAACAGTTGTAAATGCTGAAGAGTAATAAACGAGCGAGCGGCATCAAATGCCTGACAAACACTCAGACGACGCGAGCAGGAGGAGATGCCAGGGATGCCGCCAGGACACGGATGTCCTTGCCAGGCCAAGCATGTGATTTATGAGCCATTGTTCAATGTCAACCTGGACAGAGGCCAGCGCCAGCAGCGTCTGGTCCGAGTCTGGCGAGGTTTAATTGGTGTGGCGACCAGAACAGAACGAAAAATTACGATTACTCACTCTTTACTTAAAGTTGACAAGGCAATGCTCGACACGGGGATACCCATCTGCAATTTTGGGCCATAAAACAGAACGTTCCGCACACACCTGGAAGTCTGCAGAAAAGCCATGCCCATAAAATACTTTACTATGGCGAATAAAACAGTTGCGTGAACTGATTGTTAAACAAAAGATAGGGGTGCAATAAAGATGATATAATTTCCAAGAATTGTAAGAATACAGCAAGGGGTGATCAATTGGTGAAATATTACTTTAGTGCTAAGCCTTACAAGTAATCCGAGAGAGTAAGAGCAAACTTGAGGCGGTGTAATTTGCCAAGGGAAGTGGTTTTCTTATTTCTGACTATAATAATGATACGATAAAGATCTCAGGTTCTTAAGAACTCCAAAGAATCAACGATCAATAATTAAAATCGAACCCTTTCAGCAGCTATCAAAAGTATACACATCAAACCCATCAGATTACAGGCCATAATGAGAAAACACTCCTCAAGGCTTAATCTTCGGCCCTTAGGGGGCTGAACGCTCGATTGCCATTTAAAGGATTATAATTTCAGCATTTGCCCAAAACTAAAAACTTCAGAGCCGAACCCCAAACTTTGCAGACAGTTTTTGTGCCATTTAAACTCCGTTTTCAGCGGATGGAGACCAGGAAGCCGGGAGCTGGAGAGAACTACGTTTAGTTTTTATTTCACCGTGCGGCATTTGAATTCAAATGTGCTCTTAAATCGGCTTAGTTTTGCGAGCAGCTTTTATGTTCCAGGCGGCTTAAATTAATGCGCCAGCACGGACTCCCAGGCCGGCAAAACAAAAGCGAACAGAAAGCCCAACAAAAAAAAACTTATATATGAAAGAAAGGAAAGCAAAACATCGCGCAGGTCGGGCGCCATGGACTGAGGTCTGAGATTACAGACAGGGAAAGGTGATTAAATAGTGGAACGGATTTCAGCAGTTTTATGGCTTACTTTATGCATGGCAATGATTGAATTTAATTGATTTGAAGTTTTCCCAGTCCCCAGGTATTCCTCCGAAACTGCTCTCCCACTGACGTTGACAGTCACTCACGTTTGGGTTCATAATCTTATCAACGCCACTTTCACACCCACTTTGGGTGAAATCGCTGCAGAGTGCTTTGAAATGAGCTTGTAAACATTTCAATTTGCAATGTTGAGGCGCGTGAACGAATACCCTTACTGGATGGGAGGGTATAAACAATAAAATATATCATTGGATTAGATACCACGTATCTTTGATGGTGAAGTGAGAGAGAGAGAGAAAGAGAGTTACTGCTAAACTACTCTGTGAGAGAGATAGAAAGTGCGCTAGACCACAGACAAATGTTTCTTCATTCTGGCTATAATAATGATGGGATCGCAACAACACTCTGCAATATAAATGATGAAATATTAAAACCAAAGGTATGCTCTTCAATAAGTGGTAGATATAAAAAGATCTATATAAACATAACAAAATGCATGTATACTCCATACGAGATTCTTATCAAAGTCACCTTTGGTTGGTAAAAATAATAAATAGCACTCAAATTTCTGGTTCTTTTCGATTAACAGGTAAACACTTGATATAGGCATCCATTTAGGAACTACATACACACTCTACTCGCATAATACTCCACCCCAGTTCTGGTTAAAATTGTTTGATTTGAAGTTATCTACGACGCACTGGTACGTGCCACGTGCCACATGGGGGATGTGCCAGCGGCAGCTGAGGCCTGACGAAAGAGAGAATCTACCAAGTGCATTAGAGAAGGGGGAGGGGAGCGCCCTAATGGTGCTGCGGAGAGTGGAGTGATGTAAGAGTGGATGCAACAGCAGCAGCAGTCACAGTCGCAGTCGCAGCGATGCGTAATGTACTTCGTCGTAGTTTTTCCCTGTGTCTGTGTTTTGTAGCCATAAATTTTTATGGGTATCATGAACCAAACAGCGGGTGGCGGTTGTTGTTCTTGGTAAAATGTTGGCGGGGAAACGGTTGATTAAAGTGCTGATGAGGGGGCGGGCCGACACAGACAGTGGGGAAGCAGGCGCAGATGCAGGGAGTAAGCAACATGACGCCCCTGATTTAGACTTCAATCCCTAAAGATGCTGCGCAGATGAGACATAAGATTCCTCAGTTAGGCGCAAATCAAAGAAATATTATGCTGTTGTCAGGGGGGCTACTTCAAGAGGTTTGTCATCAACTCATTCACTTCCTCTAGTCCCATGAGCCATAATCAAATCCCAATCGAAATACCAGAAGTATTTATTGCCAAAAATAAACCATCATCGTGCCACCACCTCTGACAACAGGTCATCATCAATTATGCGATCGCAAAAACAGTTAAGAGTCCAAACAGTACGAAACTGAAGTACGACAGCGTATATCTTTTGGTATATAAATAAAACAAAAGGTGCCTCTGCCCTCATCCCCTGTCTGCCATGAGAAGGAGGCATCGGACAGGTCGGTAGTCGGCAGTCGACAGTCGGCAGTCGGTGGCGTTGGCCACTTAATCATAAAAGTCAGAGACATGAGCAAACATTTCGCTCTCTCTCACGCAGTGATAACAACAATTAGCGGCATTACACAGCAGGTGAGGGAAAAGCCCCTCGGCTCTATGAGGCACTCTCCATTCGCCTGAGAGCCGTACTTAGAAGCGATTTACTCATGTGTTCGCTTTTGGCCCAGAAACAGATAACAGAAGAGACGCCAACGCTGCCGCCACCGCTGCCGAGTACCACGGAACAATAATTGCCTGAACAAGCTGTCATGAGTGGCAAATGAATTAAAAGCCCCCACCAATTAAAATAAATAAGTTAGTAATAGATATTACGCAGAACGAACAGCGGACCCGAACCGAACGGCACCGCGAATCCATCCGACAGAATAGTCCAACGAGAAAAGGCCAAGCGGCTGGCCGTGAATACGCAACGGGCAAAAAATAATAAAAAAGCATACTTAATTAATTTCTCGTGATAAAAGAACAAGAGTTCCGTGCAAAAAATGACTAAGAGAAAAGTGGATATTCTCGTGTCACTGACTCTGATCTGCTGGCTGAGACTAGCGACTGCAATCACATTGGATCTCAACCATCTTCAGATGAATTTAGGTATGTTGGCAGGTCCTTTATGAGTCCTTTGAGCTCAAAGGATATTATGCAATTGGTGCACAGGATTTACCACTAATCTACATCAATTATAGCTGGATTTTCTCACCAAATTAAATGATTTTAACCTTCCGATTTCTCGAAAATTCCTTGAAAATCCTTTGAACTTCCTTTGAAAATCAAAGTTTTATTCTTTGATTTAATTTGAAAATAGGATATCCTTAAAAGTTTTCTTCTGAACATTCTAAAACATTTTTTTACGCAATAAAATATATGAAAAAAAAATTAAAAATCTTTCTTTATTTATTGATCTATTTCACAAGAACTTTTATCTACGAGTTCAACAAAGTTCACCTTAGAACTTATATAATTTTATAATCATTTTTACAGTGAAGTTGTTTTTTACTCAATTATCTATCTCCTGCTTTTGGTCTTCCGTCGATTTATAGTTTCATTTCATAACTTTTCCATATTTTCCTTATATAATGTTCCTCTCCCATGTTTATTCCTACAGCTGGAAATGGTTCCATTAAGCTGGCTTCCCCTGCCAGCCCAGACATTTACAATGTCACACTTGACCTCACGGAGTATCCATCGTTAAGCCCTTGTCCCTCGTTGATCAATGCCGATTCGTTGACCCAAACGGAACTGATCTCTCGCCTGACCGACAGCTGTCGCTACGATCGCCTGGAGCCACCCACTACACTTTCAGATATGGGGGAGAATGATCCGGTGGATGTGTATGCGCGATTCTACATCTATGTGCTGAAGAACCTAGACTCGAGCGACCTGCAGTTCATGGTGCAGGGGCTGCTGCAGTTCCGCTACATTGATCCTCGATTGGCATTCTCCACCTATGCCCCCAGTCGAAAACAGCCCGTGATGGGGCAGGCGATTCTGAGGCAGTCGCTGTGGGTGCCGCACATCTTTCTGGCGAACGAGCAGAGCTCCACTGTGCTGGGGACCAACGAGAAGGATATGCTGACGACCATTTATCCCGATGGGACTGTGCTCATTTCCACACGCATCCAGGCGACGCTCTACTGTTGGATGAACTTCCAAAAGTTTCCCTTCGATGAGCAGAAATGCACCACCATTCTGGAGAGCTGGATGTACAACACCTCGGTGCTGCGTCTGCACTGGGAGGCCACAAATCCCGTCAGCTTCGACAGTCAGCTGCAGTTGACGGAATACAATCTGATCGGATCGGTCTACAATGAGTCCATCGAAGTCTCAGACGAGAGTTTCATGTCCCACGGCGCATTGGTGGGGAACTACAGCACCCTGACCTTCACTGTGCTGCTGACCCGGGAGGTGGGCTACTATGTGATTGATTACTTTCTGCCCTCGATCATGATAGTGACCATCTCGTGGGTAACCTTCTGGCTGCAGGCCGATCAGACCCCGGCTCGCACCACCCTCGGCTGCACCACCCTGCTGTCGTTTATCACACTCTCCCTGTCGCAGGAGAACAATCTGTCCAAGGTTAGCTATGTCACAATGTCGGAGGTGTGGTTTCTGGTCTGCACCATCTTCATCTTTGGCAGCCTCGTCGAATTCGCCTTTGTGAACACCATCTGGCGGCGCAACAACAATCTGGAGCTGAAGAAACGCACCACCAAGTACATTGTCAAGTCGACATTTGTCCCAAATCTGAAGCGTAACCGCCGGGGCTACAATCGCAGCCAAAGCACCATGAGCACCACCAGCATGGACAAGGGCTGTGGTGCGAATAACACAGTCATCACCATTGAGACCCCCATCATCATTGGCAACGGTCTCAGCCGCGAAAACTCTTCCGTAAGTCTTGCGGAATCGGAAATGGGTTCTGCTTCGACGGCCAATCTGACCGATACAGAAAAGGAGAAGCCGGCCCAGACATTTGCCACCATGACACCCAAGGAGGTATCCCTGTGGATAGATCGCAAGATGCGCTTCGTCTTCCCACTGGCATTCATATTGTTCAATGCCCTGTTCTGGACTTTGGTCTACTGTCTATAGGTTTACTTAGGAAGAGGAGCCCAACTGTGATCCATCCAATGCCTCATTATAATATGGAATTTTTGCTTAAGTTTAGCTTTAAGTAGTCTGTATTTGTTTCTAATATATTATAAACAATTTGTTAGACTTAATTTCCGCATTTCCTTTCTATGGGACTCAACACACCTCCCCCAAAACTTAAGCCTCACGCACGTACAAAACTGATAAATTTGTGTCTATTAAGAGGCAGCGCATAAAAATAGGAGTTGGGGGAGGAATAGGAATGAATGCGGGGGAAACAAGTTGGGGCAGCAGACAGACAGACAGAAGGAGTCTGTAGGAGGACTGCCCCACGATATTTGTATCAATGAAAAAATCATAATGCCAGCACGCCCCAGCTCCCAGTTGCTGGAGCGTTTCCACTGCTCAATTTTTAATTAATTGCCCATGATGATGGGACTGTTGAAAACTCTTGACTTGACTCTGTTGCTTTTGGAGTCTGTCTACATCTGTCTACTGGGAGAAGCTGGTTCTGCTGCTTGGGGATTTTTCTGTTCTCCAGACTTCGTTCGGTCTTGATAAATTAACAGCACATGCAACACTTAAATTGATTTTAAATTGCCTTATAAATGAACTTCAATTCGCTGGGCCATAAACAATGTGGAAAAAGTTGGGCATTTTATTGCCATCGATCGCTAGCTAGATGCCAAATAATTTCGCTTGCGCCCAGTGAGAAGAGGAATTAATTTCAAGTGTCCATAACTCAGATCGATTCGATGCTGTGGCAGACAGACACAGCCACAGCCACAGCCCTGCTGCAGTTTCTTCCAGATCACCGCATTATTATGCAAAGCCAATATCTGGCCATCAATCTCAGTCGCCACAGTAACTCTCAAACAGTTTCCCGAACTCGTTTTGCCTCCCTCCTGTCTGTTGTCTGCTGTCTGCTGTCTGTTCGGCTGCCTTCCACTTTTGGCCGCGAGGTGTACATAATGAGATGTAATCTGTCAAAATTAAGTGTATCGCTGGACCACAGTCTGTACGGGACAGACCAGACCACTCACCGCCTGGAAACAGCCACAGCCACCGCCTGCTCCGCCTTTATCCCTTTCTGAGGAGGCCAGTTTCATGATATCGTTTCGTTTCGCTGGTGGATGCAACTTTTTGAGGCTCAACAAGTTTATTGAACCCCTACAGACCGAGGGCGAGGGCTGCTCGTGGTCTTCCAGGTACCGGAATTCCCATGTCAAGCGATAAGCCTCAGCATATGATAGATGCCCCCAACAGCTGTTTGCTGTGTACTTATCAAACGGCACCACACCCGTTTAAAGGCCTTAAAAAACCCAAATACTAGAAAAGAAATCCCAGAAAAGAAACAGAACTCAAACTCCCCAAAGAGCACTTTTCTTTATCGATTGCTAGGCTGGCAGTCAATAATGGGTCAGAATGGGTAGCAAAAACCCTTACAGAGTTCATTTACACGCCGCTTATTTGTTTAGCTTAACTTCCGATTCCCCAGACCTGAGACTCAGACTGAGACTAAGACCCAGACGCCAACTGAGACCCAGCGGAGGACTGAACCTCAGAGACTGGAACTGCGCCTGAGAGAACCAGAGGGAATTGTGAGAATCGCCTGGGCCTCCTCTTCGCAAATGAGCTGCATAATAAGCAAGTGCTTCAATTCGTTTGTTTCCCCATTTTTTTCTCTTGCCTTTTTTTTTTTTTCTTTTTTTGCACATGAGAATTACAGACATTTTCATTTATTATTATGTGGTCCGGTCAGCCCCGTCGGACTGTGTGCTGTGTGTAATTTGCAGTCACTTGCGACCGCTGGGGGGGCTCGGTCTCGGGCTCCGGCTCCGGCTCCGGCTCCCATCTCCGAGCCATGGAAATAATGCCACCGACTACTCCAACATCAACCGCAGGCGAGCAGAAATTAAATATAAATGGGTAAATTAATAAACAACTGAACGGAATGGCATAAAAGAACCGACACGAAAGTCGGGCTCGAATGTAATGCGTTAGTTAGACTTTGAGCCGCGGTTTGTATGTTTACTTTGTGTCAGGGTGAATGAATGAATGCCAACGAAAATATGGCAAGCAACTATCTTCAATAAATACACCCCAGCTACTCTCCCCACAAGACAAATGCATCCAAATCTTGCTTACAAATAAACAAAAAATTAATCTTATACGCCCAAGATCTTTTGAGCAGCAATTCCTATTGGAGGGCATTGTATAGTCGGGGGTGCCCAGCTATCGCCGGAGTTAAATACTCATTGCATTAGTGGGTTTATTTTTAGATGGTGGGAAAAATTCTATTTCAAGCGGCGCGCTCAACTTACTCGCAGATTGCCTATCTAAACAGAACAACCAGGCGAGACCCGCGACCACAGACAAGGGGAGCAATGTTTATTGCTGTTAGTTTTGGTTAGCCAATTTTTGTGGTGTGTTTGAAGCCTGTCTCAGTCTCTGTATCTGGGCCTGGGCTTGGGTTTGGGTTTGGGTTTGGTTTGCTTTGGTTGAGTTCCATTTCCAGTCCAGTCACGCTCTGTGGGCGCTGGTTCAGAAGTCAAGTACGAGCCATTGCCGTCCGCGCTTGGACAAGGCGTGCGAATGAGCTCAAGACCCAAGACATGGACATGGACATGGATGTGGATGTGGATGCTGATGTTGATGCTGATGTGGACAGGGACCAGCGGTTTGGGGCAGCAATCGATTTTATGACTAATAGATGCCTTAAATAACTGGCCAATACTGGCTAATTTGGCCATAGCCGTGTGCAAATTTAATGCACATCATGGCGGAGGCATTAGCATAAGCGCTCGCCCAGCAGATTAAGTTGCCAGCCAGCTGGCTGCCTGGCTGCCTGGCTCTGCACCAAACCGCATGGCTAATGAGAATGCTACGACGTCGTGCCACAGCCACAGCCACATCCACATCCAGCTCCGACTCCAACTGCAACTGCAACTCCGTTTTGCAGCCAGAGCCAGAGATATCCAGCTTCAGGCCCACATCCATGATGGGGTCCCGGTTTTAGGTATTTACATGCTGCATGCCACAACCTATTAACAAATTGCAAACAAAACTTGCGACCGCACAGTAGCCGCCCAGTTCGGGGTCTGGTCCGTCTGTGAGGAGGAGCACTCGTCGGTGGACCAGTCGGGGAGTGGGCGTGCATACTAAATTATGGTGCTAATAAGGAGATGCCTTTACAGCTAATTTAATAGAATGCAAACGCAATGCGTTAATGGACAGGCACTTGCAGTGCCGTGGCCGTGCCAGTGCCAGTGCCCCACTCGTCCGATTCCCCCGCCAGGAAACTGCCTTGACCCATCCATGATCTTTCGCGGGCTGGCTATGACGATGGCGCCGAGCGATTAGGTGCATGCAACCACCACTAGCAACAACAACAACAACTGTTGCACCAGTGGCGCCTTATACACCACTGAGATTTGAATCATTCACTTGGCTTAAGCCTTGGAATCGCCCGAAGGCAGAAACGTTTTGCACGTTTTTCCAATGAAGCTGCAAAACTTGGGCGCCCCCCTTGCGGTCATAATTAATGAAAATTGCCACAATACACTCGAAGAAAACTGTGTGAGTAAGTGTCCGCATAGCCCATCCCCACTTGGCTGTCGTTCTGTCTTATCTTTTATGATATTTGCATATCGCTTCTGGTAAGCCATTCTACACATTTGCATATCCTCCTACTGGTAAAACATTCGCTATAGATTATTTCTTGCAGTACAATGTGCAACTGGTTTATGGCCAAGACCACGCCCTAGGCCAGCAACGATCGATGGCTTGGCTGGCCTTTTAATTTGGCAAATACTTTTTGCAGGTAGCCCATGTGACGACCCACTCTCTCTCTCGGCCCCACTCTGCGGGTACGTGAATACGGCAGACATGGCTGTAGGGCAGCGGTTATTAATTAGTATCTGCTTATCGCTGGCGCACTCGACTCGTACATTTGTCATAGATATGTGGTGCTCCGAACAAAGGTATCTGTACGGAAGGTATCTCACTGTTTGTACAAATTTATATACATACAGCGATGTATGTATATGGCGGGGGTGTGGCCGGCCGGGTCTCACTGCGGCGACTACGACGTCAACGCGGCATGATCTTATCGAAATGTGTTCGGTCGCTGTGTGACATTATCTGGAACTGGAACTGAGTCGCCCCAACAGTTGCTGGAGCTGGATGATATGCTGGCGCTCATCCGTAATTTATGGCCAACTGCCGGTCCAGGTCTTTGAGCATCTCCAAAAGTTTTTCCCCGGGTCTTTAGCCATTCTAATTTGAGGCCGTGTCATGGCAATGCCACAAATTGATTCAATTTAGTTTGGTTTTAATTAAACACGATATCGATATTGTAGAAGCACAACACGAGGAGGCCCCTGAAGTTGGCGCCACCAAAGTTGCTCCACAAGCCACCAGCCACCAGCCAGGAGCCACCAGCTACCAGCCGGGGCATCGGTGCAATGTCAGATGATAATCAAGTACAGCATCAACCTGCTGCGGTTATCGCGCCAAGTGTGCACCAAGCAGCATCCGCGACACACAAGCAGGCACAGACCCAGATACGTCGTACAGACGCTGAATTGGAGGCAGGCGAGGATAGTTGGAAGTGAATATCATTTACAGGTCTTTTGGGGGAAGCACCAAATGATGACGAGAATTATACGACTTGCGTTGCTATTGTTTTGCTGAGACTGGGAAGTTTTGAAAGGAAATTCGTGCTGGAATATTATTTAATAAACCAGAGATCACTAAATTAATTCCCTTCTTCCTGGGGGAATTTTTGACTACCGTACGCAACTTCAAACTCAGCTTTAAACATGATTCGATTTATGTCGCATTGAGTGTATCTCTCAGATGCTTTATTATTCTACCATCTCCCCATTTTGTGAATGATTCAGACTCTCTGGCAAGTCCCGTCTCTCGTCTGATAATGCATCTGCTTCAGTTGCTTTGTAGCGAAATTTTTGGGCTTCTATCGAGGCATGATGCACAAGAAACTTTTGCAGCATGCAACTTGGCGACTTGGCCATTACTTCCACCAAAGAACACACATACACATATACATATGCACTCGCAAAAGTTAAGTACGCGG